TCCTCTTTACTTAGATTAGATTGTGTCTTGCTAATATATCCAACATATAAGATACTCATCAAAGTCAAACAAAGGTAAATAAATGACCTTATTAAGTTTTTAGTCAAAAGGTCAAAGAGATGTGGACATCTGCTAAATTTAATTGTTTAGTTAATATTCATCAAACTTCATGGATAGGTTAATTAAACAAACATCATATATTTTGATTTTCAGGTCAAAGTTCAGCACAATTTTTGCTATACCATTGTTGTCCATGAATATCTTAACCCCTCTATTGACTTTTCAGGTTAAAGGTCAATGTATTCCTGCTACAGTATAACTTCATTATAAGGATATCATAGTGATATTCTTTATTTGTAAGAAATTAGGTATAAAATCTCCCACTCTTTCTATAATATGTCACTGAATATGCTCCTTTATTTTAGAGAGTTTTACAAGCAAATCATATACTGACTTTCAATCCTTCAATTTGCACAATATATATTGAATCTTGAGATTCAGACTTTCAGCCTTTTAGGATTTCAATCTTAAAAACTTTCAGACTTTCAATCTTTAAAAACTTTCAATCTTGAGGACTGAGTATTTTAATATTCATTTTGTCTGTCTTGTCTTTTATATCATGATTAATCCTTAGTAATTCAAACTTTTCATGTTTGTAAAATCAGAGTGTGAAAGTACAGTGTTTGTGTAATCTTCTTAATGTTTATCTATAAATACTGCTTTTAATACAGTCAAATATAATTTTCTGATTATCAAAATTTCCAAATTGCCTGACCTATACATATTTAGAGTTTCAATATCATACACTCTTGAATATCCATAAATATCAATATATTGCTTCAGCATTGGCTATCAACCATACACTTGTTAACCTAAGGAACGCTCTTACCATAAGTTTAACTCATGGAATTCCTCATACAATTTTGAAGAATCTCTGTTATACAGGATGGTAAAGACAAAAGGCTCATAAATTTCCAAGTAGTAATAATATTTAAAACTATATATCCACACTAAATTGAGGAACATTTGAAGAATCCTTTTCCTTTATAACTCATGAAATTTCCTGTAGATAGTGGGTATGATGTGTAAAACATCTTTATGAAAAAAAAGATGGTGTAAAGTTAGCCTCACCCAACACCCAAGGGAGAGGGGAGGGAGGGTTGAACCCTTTTTGTCCAAGAAACCTGAATTTTAAAGTTAAAAAAATTATAAAATAAAATGACTTGTTTAATAATTGGATGATGATTTTGTGCAGATCACAGGGAGTGGATCTAAGCTACCAGAGGGGTGTGCAGAGACAATATGTAAGAGGATGTTTAAGGAGGTACAGGTCCACTCCTTATCACAGACAGACAGATATACGGTGTACAAAATCTACACAGCACTACTGGATAAGAAACTCACTGGTAAGAAGTTATATATTACTTGAATTTCAAAGTACATGAAGTATGATTGCTTGGTTTCTGACCATGGAAAGAACAAGGTTCACCTTTGCCTTTTTTGGCCCTGTGAATTTCTGAAAAACTAAAACTGCTTAATTTTAGTTAACGATGCATTGAATAACCCTTATATCTTTGGTGATTGTGTATCTTTAAAAACTGACGTAATTTTCTGGCGATTGAATACATTATGACGTCACGAAATGCGTCTTTTACCTCATATTCTAAAAAAAGTCTACAAAAACGGCCAAATCTTAAAGTTATTTTTAGATATTTAATATAGAGATCAACTTATGATCTAAAATATGCAACTAGTAAATGATAGAACTGTTTCTGATGAGGATTAAAAGATATGATTTATTTTTTAGATCAGAGAGTGCGCTGACATTATTTTTCTTCATTGAAATACTCAGATATACCTATTTACCTTAAAATTCAAGGCTAATGGTTCTTTGCGAAACGAAAAACGGAACGGAACCAGTTGTGGGGCACCTTAGGGGCGGGTGGAATAAATATGAATTATTTATACATAATAAAAATTAATATAATACGTTACTTTATTACAAATTATTCTGCCATTATGTATCTTAGGAAACCAACCAAAAAAGTGTCAAGTGTCTGAATTTAAGTAGAGGACCATGAAATAAAATGTCTATAAGTGATGAATTATTTTGTCGTTGAGTTTTTGATCTGCTGTGTCAAGTGAAGTGACTATGTGAACGATGTTGATGAGAGCTATGCAACTGCATCAACATTTTTTGACCTTGACCTTTCCTTTGACCTTGACCACCCTTTTCTTAAATTGGTGTTTAGCTCAGTTTTAAACATACCATTCAAGATGGTGTTATCAAACTTCACATGTAGATACATACTGATGAGAGCTATTCGACTGCCTCACCATTTTGACCTTGACTTTTCCTTTGACCTTGAACTTACTTATCTTTAATTAGTGTTTAGCTCAATTTTAAAGATACCATTCTAGATATTTTTATCAAACTTCATTTGTTGATACATATTGATGAGAGATATGCAACTGCATCATTATTTTTTACCTTGACCTTTCCTTTGTCCTTGACCTCACTTATCTTTAATCAGTGTTGAGCTTAGTTTCAAAGATACCATTCATAACATTTTTATCAAACTTCATATGGTGTTACATACTGATGAGAGTAATTCAACTGCATCAACATTTTTGACCTTGACCTTTTCTTTGACTTTACTTTTCCTAAATAACTTTCAAACTTCATATGCTGATACATACTGATGTAAGCAATTCAACTGCATCAACTTTTTTTACCTTGACCTTTTATTTGACTTTTTTACCTTGACCTTTTATTTGACTTTTTCACCTTGACCTTTTATTTTGCCTTGACATCACTTTTATCAAATTGTGTTTATGCCAGTTTTAATTAAAGAAATCATTCCATATATTTTTAACAAACTTCATATGTTGATACATATTGATGAGAGATATGCAACTGCATCAACATTTTTTGACCTTGACTTTTCCTTTGATTTGACCTCACTTTTCTCAAATCATATGAAACTTCATATGATGATATATACTGATGTAAGAAATTCGACTGTATTAACATTTTTACCTTGACCTTTCATTTGACCTTGACCTCTGTTTTATCAAAAATGTTTTTCAGTTAGTTTAAAATAAACCATTTATGATATTTTTTCAACTTTATATGCTGAAATATGATGAGAGCTTTTCAACTGCAGTTTTTGACACAGGCATTTCCTTTGACCTTCACCTCATTTTAATTAAATTAGCGTCAAACTTCATATGCTGATACATACTGATGTAAGCAATTCAACTGCATCACTATTCAAGATATTCTGATCAAATTTCATACACTAATACAAATTTTCATGTAGCAAGTTCTCAGAAATTAAGCTTTACATTGGGATATATGCCACAAAATTCCTCATGATTATACAAAAAAAACCCATTTTCATCTAAATGATTATTAATAAATTTAATATTCAGGTCATATATATTTTTGTTTTAAATGACTTACCCACCAGTGACAATTTTAGGATTATAGAAAATTGGTATGTGTCCTGCAACCTTACATACACTAGAGTGATTATTATTTAATTCAATCCATGCCTCAAAGTCATCTTTCCAAAACTTGTTTTACCCTCCGACTTTCAAGCAGTGGGATTAAGGAATAAAAGGTGTACTGCACTTCTTCTTCACTGAAAAATGAAATACTAGTACCTTCGTACGGGCTTGAGTTGAACATGGTTATTGGTTCTGATAATATTGTGAAAATGTTCCATAGAAACCCCGAAAAGTGTATTGCTTACATGTTTCAAAATACAGTTTGATGATGTTTGGGTAGAATATTTAACGAATAAGGAGAATTTGTGTAATTATCATTAAATTTTATTGAGTGGCAAAGGAGGAGTTGCAGATAAGAGATGGGTACCCTTCAATATTACAGAAAAAATTGGCCTATGTTTGCTCTTGAAAACCCAAAATATATAGAACGATCAAAAAATAAAATTGGATGTTACAATGCTACTATATATGACGGGCACTGGAAGTTAATGTAAATATATAGTATGTGTATGCATAAAAAAAAGAAGGGTAGGACACTCTTTTTTAAGGCAAATTCGGGTTTAGGGTATTGTAGGCCTATCTTAGAAGTCTTGACGCGATTTATCGTTCACATGTAACTTACTTATTTATATGTACCGTTTCCTTCCGCTCCAATACCGTCCCGTCGAAGAAAAAGATGTTTTTATACCTCCAAGTGCCTTAAGCTTAGAATTTCGCTAGACTGCCTTAATTCCAATACCCTATACCCTTACAATACCCTAAACCCGAATTTGCCTAAAAAAGTGTCCTATCCTTCTTTTTTATATACATACACATATTATATATGTACATTAACTTCCAGTAGCCGTGCTATATATAACACTCTATGAAAGTAAAACTCTTTATTGAAATACTTTCACAAGCCCATCACGGTATCCCTACCACAATGTACACTTGTATTGAGACAGAGATTATGGAAGGTTCACTTCATTCCCTGTCAGTGCGAACTTCAAGAACTCCCCATCATGACTCAGTAGATATCTGTTAATTGTAGAAGTCAGTGAAAAGGATATTACAGAGGGAGTCACAAACTGCATCGGCTGGACAAAAGAACACTGCCAGGTTCCGTCCACAGTAGATTAAATACGACCAGAGGGAAACATAATCATTGGATTGGGAGAAAAAAGAAAACTCATCCAATAAGTCAAAGATCATAAGATCAGATTATCCGTGAATGTATGTGGAAAAAAAGACCTTTCTTTATTTTGCACATTAAAATATATTCAAGTCATTGCAAGTGCTCATTCTTCGAAACAATTCCGTTAAATACACAAAGAAATGCAACCCTTGTCAATTTTTTAACACCTACAAGATACCAATTGCTCTTCTTAAAAACTTTCTACATTTTTGTATGGTACCTATTGCAGCAAAACAGTCCAATTTATAGTTAGGAAAACACTGACCAATGCTTTACAGGCCATCACTTTTCAATGTGTATAATGCAGATACTAATATTTGTACAATGTGTATCTTGTTAGTGTATTGCTATCATAGTATCCAACATATAGCTGGTTCTCCAGATCCAAACACAGTCCAGAGGGTCTGACCAAACCTGATTGACCTATGTTCAACAGAGAAAGGAACAAACCGTCCTTGTCCAACAGGTGAATTGAATAACTCTTTGGATCACAAATCAGAATGTGGCCGAGGGTGCTAGTACATATTCCGCACGGGGAGAACTCTGAATTTGATTGCTGACCTGTGTAGGAGAATCGATATTTCCCTGCTTTATTTACAACCACCACTTCCTCCTTTCTACTGTCCGATACACATATATCTCCATTAATATTCTCTGTAAGGTAAACTGGAAATTTATAAAGCATTCCTGTCCAGCATCTATTCTTATTCTTTATATCCTGGATTTTCCTTCCTGTTTTGCTGTACCTTGTCACTTTAGCATCGTTTGTTTCAGTATCATCCTTAATCATTCCCATTAGTATGTCTTCATTTCTGTATGAGGAGTAAATGCTAAGCACAGTCCAGTCCTCTGTCTGGATGAATTTTATAATCTTGGTATCTGATATTTTATAGATAACATTGTTTTCCTTTCCTATAAATAGGAGATTCCCTTGCATTGTCATTGTATGGCAAGCTCTTCCTATTCCACTAATTTTTATGCTCCACAGCCGATTTCCCTGTACATCAGTCTGCACAAGATTCCCGCCAAACTCGCTGACCCACAATCTGCCTGCATGATCTTTAGAGACGTGAAGCATACTTTGCATACCTTGCACAGTGATTCCGTCTGCCTCAGTGACAAAGTTGGACATTTTCCACCGTTTACAAGGCTTCGGGTTAACTATATCTCTCTGGTTTTGTTTAATAACTTGAAGGTGGGGTAGAGACTTTAGACTAAACAATTTCCGAACATTTCTTTCCTCTGTTGAGACATTGGGGAAAATTTTACTCAAAGCCCTTAGAACCTCTGCTTTGTTAAAGTTCCCCGCGATCACTGTTGGATAGGCAGGCTTTGACGTCTTTGGGATAGGTTTTATCCCCTCTGCCTCGTTTCGCACAAGATATTCCGGGTCTTTATTTACAAGTTTGAATTGATACTTCTTGGCAAGTCCGTTGAGATAAGAAATGTAATCAGTCATTGTTTTACTTTGTGTGTACAGGTCGTTAAGTGTTTCCCTCTCTATCTTCTCTAACTGGGCCATTTTCTCGGAGAATGCTCTTTCAATTTCACTTTTAAAAGCCTCGGTTTCTAATATTAGTTTTCTTTTTGTCTCGCCAATCATCTTTTTTATTTTAGTGACGTCATCCTGAATGTCATCCAGAACATCATTGGATGCTGGCAGGAAATATTCGTAGATTTTACACAAATGAATTTTGAATGCTTCAAAATGCTGAGAATATATTTCTTCAAGATCTTCAAACGTATGCCCCTGATGATCTGGTGCTATAGCGCAGTTTGAACATAGTGGGATCTGGCATTCTTTGCAATGCATATCTAAATCCTTAGTTCGATGCCGTGGACATTTCTTCAAAGGGATCGCCAAGATTCTAGGGTTGTACCTACCAATATCATGGGCTTTGGTGTACGGATTTATTTTGTGGTTGTCACGACACTTTTCACACAGTCTCACATAACACGAATTGCAATGGTACAGACAGTTTTCGTCACACATTTCACACTCAATATAATGCTGAGGAGAACTTGGTACAGCCATTCTGACTCTGTATAATATATAGTATAAAATAATGTAGATAAATATTTTATTAGGCATACATTACAAATTAAGAATATTTGAAAGATTGTATAGTACTTATCTCAAATCAAGCGTAACTTCTGTACTTGTGACATTTTAAGGACTGCATTTAGAGATTAACAAGAGGTTCAGCCTCAGTTATAGTTCACCTGAGTATCATGTAACAACTGAACAACAGTTGAATTCGGTACATGTTTTAGACCAGACATAAACAATGGGGCCCCGTCCTAACCCCAGACCCCCTGATCTAGGGGCCATGCAAT